CCCTCTCCTGGCCGCTCTCACCATCGCAACCGCCCTTTTTCCCTCACAGTAACGCACACCGTACGAACCACGACCCCATCAACCTCTACCGTCATCAGTACGAGGAAAACGACACCAACCACCTCTGCCTCCACCACGGCCAAGACCACTGTGTCCACAGAGTCCAGCCCAACCACCACGACTCCAACCACCTTGAGAAGTACAACGCTCGCCCCAACCAGCACCTCGGAGGCTACCACCCCAGGCGTCAGTACCTCCCAGACCTCCACGCCGACAGCCGCTACCCCTGCCACTTCCTCCACCACCTCCACCACAACTGCCACGCCAACCATTACGCCCGCCACCGTGACGCTGACGACCACCGCCCCGATCACGACCTCCACGCTGCACACAACCTTGGAGTCCACCACCTCGCACATCACTACCCCCACCACCACCAAAAGCACCACTGCGACTGTGGTTATCCCCACCACAACATCTACTGAGTCTACCACAACTGCCATGCCGACAGCTACGCCCACCACCACAACCCCGACCGCAACATCGGAGACCACCACGCCGCACACCACGACTCCCACCACCGAAAAAACCACCACTCACACACCACCCGCGTCCACTCCTTCCACAACCAAGGCCACAACAGCTCCATCCCCAACACCACGAAAGGGTAAATGTTACTCATCGCTCCCCCTCTGCGGGCAGGTATTTTTGCCAAAGGGCCACTTCCCTCCCTTGCATCCACCCCCCCTCGGCCCCTACTTCCACCATTTCGGGGACCGTCCCAGCTGGCAGCACGCACCCTGCCGCGGACAACACAACAGTGGTAATGGTGGAGCTGCTCTTCTTCCCCTGCACCCACCACCGTTGCCTCTGGCCCCTGCCACCCTGGCCCAGGGGCACAGCTGGTTCTCGAGGCAGCTGCCCAGCAGGCCATCCCAAGATTTCCAAGGCGAGATCAGCCTTGGCTGCCCGAGGAACCCCAACGCTCTTGCGGGGCGGCTCACATGGATCTCATTGCTCCGGCCCTTCCTGCAAAGGAAACCAGTACGGCTCCAGGGAAGAGGGCCTTTGAGAAAACAGCTTCCCTGTGCCTTCCACCTCTGCCTCAGGCCCTTCAATGCCAATCAGCCTGCAGAGTGAGTGGCTTGAGTCCAGCCGTCTCCCTGTGCTGCCTGACTTTCTTTTGAGCCCCCGGCAAAGTTCAGCTTTGCCATCCCAGCACCCGGAATGTCCCCACTTGTGGGACCATCTGTTTCTAGGTCAAGCCCTTGAGCGGGGCGACGCAGGCCCCTATACTGTGTCTCTCCCTCCAGTTCCAGGCAGCCTCCGTACCTCTCTCAGGCACGGAGGCTCAAGGCACCTTTTCGTCTCCCCGGGGCAGAAAGGGACCTGTACCAGAGCAGAGAGCGGGGTGTGAACCAGGGTCAAACGAGATGGGAGCTGTCTCTCTGTTCCACCCTGGAGGCACAGCCTCGTGCCTGCAGACCCCTGGTTTTGCTTCTGCCCACGTGCGCGATCTGCACGCGGTGTGGGAAGCCTGCTTCCGCTATACACACCGCCACGGGATTCAATATCTTGTCTTTTGCTTTTGCTCTTGCTTTGCAGTGGAAGAGGAAACTAGAACCACTATTCCTACCAGCACACCCTCAACAGGTGAGTGCCACAGCCCACGCGTCAGCAAAGAGCTGCCTTCCAGCCTTTACTGCGTCCTTCACGCGCCGCCCTGAAAAGCAGTTGCCGCCAGACCATGTTCCCGCCCACAGAGGCAGCTTGCCCACGCTCTCACCATCGCAACCGCCCTTTTTCCCTCACAGTAACGCACACCGTACGAACCACGACCCCATCAACCTCTACCGTCATCAGTACGAGGAAAACGACACCAACCACCTCTGCCTCCACCACGGCCAAGACCACTGTGTCCACAGAGTCCAGCCCAACCACCACGACTCCAACCACCTTGAGAAGTACAACGCTCGCCCCAACCAGCACCTCGGAGGCTACCACCCCAGGCGTCAGTACCTCCCAGACCTCCACGCCGACAGCCGCTACCCCTGCCACTTCCTCCACCACCTCCACCACAACTGCCACGCCAACCATTACGCCCGCCACCGTGACGCTGACGACCACCGCCCCGATCACGACCTCCACGCTGCACACAACCTTGGAGTCCACCACCTCGCACATCACTACCCCCACCACCACCAAAAGCACCACTGCGACTGTGGTTATCCCCACCACAACATCTACTGAGTCTACCACAACTGCCATGCCGACAGCTACGCCCACCACCACAACCCCGACCGCAACATCGGAGACCACCACGCCGCACACCACGACTCCCACCACCGAAAAAACCACCACTCACACACCACCCGCGTCCACTCCTTCCACAACCAAGGCCACAACAGCTCCATCCCCAACACCACGAAAGGGTAAATGTTACTCATCGCTCCCCCTCTGCGGGCAGGTATTTTTGCCAAAGGGCCACTTCCCTCCCTTGCATCCACCCCCCCTCGGCCCCTACTTCCACCATTTCGGGGACCGTCCCAGCTGGCAGCACGCACCCTGCCGCGGACAACACAACAGTGGTAATGGTGGAGCTGTCCTTCTTCCCCTGCACCCACCACCGTTGCCTCTGGCCCCTGCCACCCTGGCCCAGGGGCACAGCTGGTTCTCGAGGCAGCTGCCCAGCAGGCCATCCCAAGATTTCCAAGGCGAGATCAGCCTTGGCTGCCCGAGGAACCCCAACGCTCTTGCGGGGCGGCTCACATGGATCTCATTGCTCCGGCCCTTCCTGCAAAGGAAACCAGTACGGCTCCAGGGAAGAGGGCCTTTGAGAAAACAGCTTCCCTGTGCCTTCCACCTCTGCCTCAGGCCCTTCAATGCCAATCAGCCTGCAGAGTGAGTGGCTTGAGTCCAGCCGTCTCCCTGTGCTGCCTGACTTGCTTTTGAGCCCCCGGCAAAGTTCAGCTTTGCCATCCCAGCACCCGGAATGTCCCCACTTGTGGGACCATCTGTTTCTAGGTCAAGCCCTTGAGCGGGGCGACGCAGGCCCCTATACTGTGTCTCTCCCTCCAGTTCCAGGCAGCCTCCGTACCTCTCTCAGGCACGGAGGCTCAAGGCACCTTTTCGTCTCCCCGGGGCAGAAAGGGACCTGTACCAGAGCAGAGAGCGGGGTGTGAACCAGGGTCAAACGAGATGGGAGCTGTCTCTCTGTTCCACCCTGGAGGCACAGCCTCGTGCCTGCAGACCCCTGGTTTTGCTTCTGCCCACGTGCGCGATCTGCACGCGGTGTGGGAAGCCTGCTTCCGCTATACACACCGCCACGGGATTCAATATCTTGTCTTTTGCTTTTGCTCTTGCTTTGCAGTGGAAGAGGAAACTAGAACCACTATTCCTACCAGCACACCCTCAACAGGTGAGTGCCACAGCCCACGCGTCAGCAAAGAGCTGCCTTCCAGCCTTTACTGCGTCCTTCACGCGCCGCCCTGAAAAGCAGTTGCCGCCAGACCATGTTCCCGCCCACAGAGGCAGCTTGCCCACGGCAAGCAGAAGTTGCTCCGGGACCAGACCCTGCCTTTCTTGGCAATGCACGTGGGCATGGTTCGGCCTCAAAAGCAGTTGGCACTGGTTGGGAGAGCAAAGGGAAGGGAGGCAGCCAGCAGGGCACGAGGGGCTGTGTCCAACGAGGGGGAGGGAGCCCAGGCCTCCCACCTTAAGCACCAAGAACCAGGGCGTGGGGGCATTCTTCCCACACCTGCCACATCGGGAACCTGTGCTTGTTGCACGGAGTCGGCTGCACAGGTTGCGGGGCTCGTTGTGCAGGGGCGGAAGGAGCACTTCTCGCTAGGAAGACGAGATGGCAGGGAGACGAGAGAGCGTTTTGCTGCAGGAAGCAGGGCAGCCGCACAGAATGACAATCCGAGCGCTGCACGGAAGCAGCCAGGCATATGCAAAGCCTTATGGCAAGGTCTGAACAGGGCGCCCCGACTGGTCCCTTCCCCCCACCCCACGCCTCGTGCTGTGGCTCCTGCCATGGGCAGAGAGCTCTGCAAGGAAGTGAACGGAGGCCACCCACATGGCTTTGTTCATTGCCCTAGCCCCGGGTCGCTCTGCCTTTTAGGTTCCTTCAAGAAGGATGGCCCCTACGCGGCGCCTTCCAAGGCCTGCCTTCTCTCTCCAGTCCCGGAGGATGAGGGGGCCACGTATCACCTCTGTGCGCGACCGGTGGCTTCTAGGCGGGCAAGCCACACTGCGCGCTCGGCAGGCTCCCCTCCCATCCTCTCATCCCAGAGATGTGTGTCACCCCTCTCTACACAGCGCACCCTCTCCTGGCCGCTCTCACCATCGCAACCGCCCTTTTTCCCTCACAGTAACGCACACCGTACGAACCACGACCCCATCAACCTCTACCGTCATCAGTACGAGGAAAACAACACCAACCACCTCTGCCTCCACCACGGCCAAGACCACTGTGTCCACAGAGTCCAGCCCAACCACCACGACTCCAACCACCTTGAGAAGTACAACGTTTGCCCCAACCAGCACCTCGGAGGCTACCACCCCAGGCATCAGTACCTCCCAGACCTCCACGCCGACAGCCGCTACCCCTGCCACTTCCTCCACCACCTCCACCACAACTGCCACGCCAACCACTACGCCCGCCACCGTGACGCTGACGACCACCGCCCCGATCACGACCTCCACGCTGCACACAACCTTGGAGTCCACCACCTCGCACATCACTACCCCCACCACCACCAAAAGCACCACTGCGACTGTGGTTATCCCCACCACAACATCTCCTGAGTCTACCACAACTGCCATGCCAACAGCTTCGCCCACCACCACGGCTGCGACCACCTCCACGACTGCCGTGACCACAACCTCGAAGACCATCCCCACACACACCCGGACTACAACCACCACAAAAAACACGACTCAGACACCTGCTACATCCACCCCTTCCACCATCTATATCGCTACGTTTTCTTCCACAACACCAGGAAAGGGTAAATGTTAGTAATCATTCTCCCTCTCTGGGTAGGCATTTTCCCAAAAGTTCAGGTACCAGAGGTGTTTTTAGGGCAACCCAGCAGGCCTTTCTAGAGCTTCAAGGCATCATCAGCTTTGACTGCCTGATAAACCCCAGCAGTCTTGTCGGATGCCATCTGGCAGATCTCCCCACAAAGCAAATTGTAGGGCTCCAGGTAATTGTGCCTCCTAGAAAATAGCCTGCCCATTTTTTCCTTCCCTGCCTCAGGCTCTTCAGTGCCAGTTGGTCAGGATAGTTGATGGTTTGGCTCTAACTGTCTCTGTCCTGCCTCACTTTTTTCTGAGACCCCTGCAAAGGTTTGCTTTTTTATCTCATCAACCGAGATATTCGCACTGTTGGGACATCTCTTTCTGGGACCAAGCTCAAAGCCTGGCAAGAGAGGACCCTTCACTCTCTCCCTCCAGTTCCAGGCAATCTCCACACCTTTCTTAGGCAGGGGGACCTGAGTATCCATTTCCTATCCCCTGGGCTGAGGGACCTGTACCAGAACTCGGAATGGGTTGTGAATAGGTATTGCATGGGATGGGTGATGTCTCTCTCTTGCTCTTAAGATTAACCTTTATAGTTGCATACTTTTGTTTTGTTTTCCTCACTTACATTTCATAATCTGTCATTCAGTGATGAGGATTAATATTTCTTATCATGGTCATGGAAGTAATTTTTCCTCCTTTTTTCTTTATTTCTTCTCATATTTTCATTTTTTTCACATGTAGGAGAACATGTAATCAGAACCACTACTCCAATCACTACTTCTTCCACTGCTACCAAAACCACCACAGTCACAACAGCTATGCCTACACCATCAACATTTACCACAATTGCTACTCCATCAACTACAATGCCTACACCATCAACATTTACCACAATTGCCCCTCCATCAACTACCCCTCCCACTGCCACTGTGACAACAACCCCTATTTCCACCTCAGTAGTTGTTATTCCAGTTAGAACAACTACCCCCCCTATACACACACCTCCTTTCCAAACAACTTCCTCAGAACAGAGTACTCCTACCACTGAAGCCATTACTTCCTTTAATATTACATCCCCTACTGCAACCACCATAATCACCAAGACCACCACTTCCTCAACAACTCCAACTATTCCACCTACTGAATCTTCCACATTAAAAGCAACTACACTTACCTCCTCAACTACGAGCAAAACGACCAGTTTTTCCAGGAAAACAACTACAGCACCTACATCTTTATCAACTTACACCACTTGTAAGTTCAGATTTTAGTATTGTGTGATCTATATTATCTTGTTTTTATACTGCAATTATGTTTTTGCAGGAATTTTTATTTAATTTTAAATAGCACTTAATTTGAGACTGTATTCTATGTTTACCTTCACTCGGGTACCAATGAGTTGTGCTTTTTTCCCGCAGGTTTTTTTTATTATATCAGTTCCAGTGATTCCATTCTCCCATTTATATATGTATCTCTCCTACTTTATAATACACCTCATTTCAAAAGATAATATGATGATAATGTTTGTACCTATTTAATTTAGATCTCAAGGCCCTATTAGTAACTGTGATTTCCTTATGTGAATTAATATAGTATTTTGTGTATGTTCAAAACATATCTTTTTATCATCTCTACTGAATTCTTCCGTTTAATTCAATCAATTTAGCCAGGAGCCTTGAGAGGGTTTAATTTTAGAAGCCTTTTTGTGGAACAGTAGCCAAATCCATCACTATCATTTCAAAGCCATGTACAGCTATTTACTACATTGTTTATTTGGAGCGAATAAGTTTTACATGTTTTCACAATCTTTTCTATGATTTTCCTGTAAAAATCCATCCAACTGAAAAGACGTCAAAATAGTAAGGAAAGGATTAACTTATCCATCCAACTGAAAAGACGTCAAAATAGTAGGGAAGGGATTAACTCCCCCAGCCATTCTTTGCTTGGAAGATGTTTTTCCTGTACTGCTCCTTCATAAGATATCCTAAACAGTTGAGATATTTTCCCTGACATCTATCAGAAAGCAGATGTTTGTTCAATACCAATTTAAGGTTTAACTGTCATCTTTGGCATTGTTTGCTGTAGAACTAAATATGAACATTAATCCTCCCCCAGTTTAGCTTTTATAGGAGAAAATGGACCAGAGTTGCTGAAGGTACTGGAAGAATGCTGAAAGGGGAGTTTCACATTGTGAAATGGGATACTTTAAATTATCCCATTATCTTTACTTTTCCTCTCTGCCTTTTTACTATGGTGGTGGTTGGGATCATTTTGCTTGAATGATGAATTCCTGACAGTACATCAGTGGGAATTAGGGCAGATAGCATTGAAATATACACCAAATATAAGACAGAATAATCAATGACCTCCAATATTATATATTTCATAGATTTCATAGACATTAGGGCTGGAAGGGACCTCGGAAGAGCATAGAGTTCAGCCCCCTGCCCCAGGGGCAGGAAGTCAGCAGGGACCATAGGATCCCAGCAAGATAAACCACCAGATGTCTTTTGAAGAGCTGTGTTAGTCTTAAATTAGGCAGAATACAGAGCAAAGGAGCTTCTTAAATACTAATTCAGAGATGCATAAGCTTTTGTAAACTACATCTTACTTCTTCAGATTCTATGAAAGGACTTGCAGTGAGCAAGTCTTCAAATAGAAAGAGTGATTTAAAGACAAAAGATAGGGAGGGAAAAAGGAAGGGAGGGGTAGGATGAGAGAGGCCAAGGTGGGTTGAAGAGAAAAATAAAGCAGTAAAGTAATATAGACATAGGAGAAGATCTTTCAAGTTAGATGGTTTATGATAGTATCTTGGGAAAAGTCTGAGAGTAACATTTTTCAGAATCACTTTACCTATGGATTTAAGAGCTGATTTTGCATCAACTTCCCCAAACGCTAAGTATCTTTTGAAAACAGGACATAGGGATTACTGAAAGTGTTACTGAATGTTTCAACCTTCTTCAGGAAGAGTTAATTGCCACAAGGGTATTGCTGTTTTTCAAAATTACTGGTTGCCATTTTTTTCCTCTGTACTGGACTGCTGCCTATCTTTTCTTTAATATTCAATATTATTTAAGTAACCATACAAAACACTAATGCGACAATATTGTATTTACTTCAATATAAGGCAACCCTCAATATAAGACAACTTCCCCCATAATTAGATTCTATATATGGAAAATGTATACATTTGTTATAATTCTCCAGGTATAGAATCTAATTATTAGAGATTTGCCTTAAATTTGTTCTCCTACGACTGCTACAGCAGGGAAAATAAATCTAGAGGGTCAGGCAGACACTTTAACATCTGCCTGTCCTAACCTTTCCCCCATGCACTCCCTTTCCTCTACTCTTTACTGTCAGACCCTGCTTGCCCTGAGCACATGAAAGTAAGGAGAAAATGTGAAAACAGTGACTTTGAAATAAACATGCCTTTAGTAATTTGCATATAGTAGCTATAAACGTAGCTCATCTAGAATTGATACATTTTACCTTTTTTTCAAACTGCTGCAAGTTTTAGCACAAGTAGTCCATAAACACACTTTTAAGCAGCACGTTTGTACCTACATAGGTAAAGTACAAACTACGCATGATTTATTTCATTGGGCTGGATCCCAGCAGAACTGTAGGTGACCCTACAGCTCAGCATTGCTCAATATGTCCATGTACTCCAGTTACCTCTCATAAGGATCCATGTGTTAACTAGCCACCCCACTCATGACTGGAACTGGGTGTTCTTGTCACCTGGGAATCCTCTGAAAATGTATATGCAGTAGGGCTGTGCGAAGCTTTGGTCATTGATTTGGTTTGGCAGAGATTCGGCCCAATTTGGTGGCCAAATCTCCAAATCCGACTCAAATCAGGAGACCCTTTAATCTCTCTGAATCAAATCAGAACCCTCTGAATCACCTTGGAGAGATTCAGTGATTCTGCCATAGACACAGCTTTAAACATTTTTTCTACGTACCTCAAAGTACCAGGTGGCTCATGAATGCTGCAATGGTCAGGCAGATGGAGCATCTCATAGAAGCGTGGGAGGCTCCCTAGTGTGCTCGGAAGCAGAACCAGAAGTGGACCAGAAGCACTTCCGGTCCACTTCCGGGTCTGCCGGGGAGCGCACCGGGGGCCCCCCTTGCACCCTCCCGGCTCAGCAACTGGTGCCTCCTGGGTCTGGGGGGGCACCCGGGCTCCCCCCACAGCTGATCACTAAGCACAGTTCCTGGTAGACCCGGAAGTGGACCGGAAATACTTCTGGCCCACTTCCAGGTTGACTGCCAAGCACATGGGCCCCCATGTTCCTGTGGGACACTCCATCTGCCCCACCATCACAGCATTCACGAGCTGCGCCTGGTACCTCAAGGTATGTAGAAAAAGCATTTAAAGCTGTGTCTACAGGCAAATCACTGATTCTCTGAATCAGCATCAAATCTTGAGATTCAGATTCGACCAAATCAAATCAGGACAGTGATCTGAATCAACAAATCAAATCACTGTCCCTTATTCGGACCAAATCTGAATTGAATATGGCCCATTTCACGCACCCGTAATATGCAGATGAAGTGCAAGACAACCTGATTCAGCTCCATCTCAGAGGGCGGGACCATGCTAATTATATTGGACAGGCTGAGAGAAGGGCAATAGAGGAATTCTGTGTGAACTCTTTGGGGCCCTGTTTGGTGATGTTTGTCAGATACTTAAGGCTGGTGAAGAAACAGGAATGATTGGAAATGGGAAAGAAAAGTGCAGCTTAGCTATTCAAGTGAAGAGGAAGTCAAAATGTATTCAGTGTAGCAGCTCACCATGACTTGAAAGAGTCAGTGCTGAGATGGACTGCACTCAATGGGTATTACCATATATTTTATTGAGATGGACTGCACTAACCTATCCTTGTGGTAGGAGAGATATCATAATGATGGTATTGGTCCAGGTGGTTTTACATACCTGGCAAGGGAGATCCCATTCTTCCCAGCCTTAAGTGACTTGGTGTAGTTGAGGATGGAGACTTGTCCATTGCACCGTCAGCAATGGACAATCCTCCCAGTTGGAGGATCTTGGCTACACCTAATGCACAGAAGACTAACTCTACCGGACATTAATGCAGCTGGCAAAAACTGTGTTAATGTGCTAATGTACAGTAGATTTAGTCAAACGTGAATTACTGTCACTAAAAAAGCATTTGTCACATTAATATGCAGTAGCACCAATTACGTCACATTATTACATCTATTATTACAGGCACTAAACTTAATGCGCTGTAATTACAGTGCATTAATACATGTGTAAATGCACCCTCTGAGTGCCATCCTGGTATTGCAGTACCTCCAGGCCTGGTGATCATTTCTTCCTTAGGGGATCAACTGCCCATTTTTTGTTTTTTAAGGGCCACTCCAAAAACAAAGGTTTCCATCAGTATATTTGCCTAATATGGACCATGTGTTTTATAGTCATGTTTAGGGCTGGCTGCATTTAATCTGAACACATGCTCCTTTTGGCAGCAGTTTAATAGTAGACAATATATTTGTTGGTTTCCTTATGTGCAAAAATAAGATAAGGGGCTTTCCACCCCTCATATAAATAGTAAATCACATTTCTTCTTATGACAGTCATCCCTTACAGCATCAGATTTGGGTTTACATGCATCTTCTGTAGCATCTTCCAAAAGCATTTTACTGTGTGTTACCTATCATTGCTTTTACTTATTTACTCCATGTTCAGTTCAGTTCAGTTGTGAAATTGGAATTTGTTTTAATGAGGGCATTCTGACCAGAGCCACTGGGACAGATGCAATATAAGGGAGAGATAAAAGAAAGAATGATGGTTTAAATATCCCACTTCAAACGTCCTTAGCTCCACTCCCCTGGCCTTGGAGGTCTCTATTTACAGAGGCTATGTTAGTTGTAGAAAATCCATCCATATTCATTGCTCAGGAACATAAACTAGCACTAGAATACAGGTATAACAACTGAGGTGTCAAGACAATCTTAATGAGAGATTTGTCAATGTTGAGAGGAAATCTGTTATTGCCTTCATTTGTGACAATTTTGCAAATCATTTTGTCAAGATTTTTTAAGAGCACATGGATGCAAGGGTTTCTACTGTATTTATTGTAAAATATGGAAGAAAATCACCTTATTTAAAGGTGATGGCATTAACTATGTCTAGATTTCTAGATTAATTGGATATGCCATCTATAGTTGAGGTAGAAATTTGTTACCCAAATGAGAAATGCTCACCAGTTCTTGTTGATATATGTTTTGTCATCCGTTTTGTTTCCTCTCATTCACATAGTTTATGTTTTTCTCTTTCACAGTAAAAGTCCCTCCTGAAACTTCGACTGTATCTACACCACCTAGGCCAGGTTAGTTCCTCTGAGTCCCTGGGTGATGTAAGATGCTGCACGAGCTTCATGCAAGTATATTTTCAATAACAGGGCAGGGTGGGGGAGTGGGATCCTCCATACTGGATATTTTTCACCCCTAACATGGGTTTCTCAGTTATTTTCTAGTCTTATAGGTCACTACTACTGTCTTCTTAAATGGTTTGAGCTTTAATTCAGAATTCAGGGTTAATTCAAAGGAGGGAAACCACCCATCCTGCTACCTAATTATTCACCTCCCCTCCTGAAGATGTATTCTTTCAAATTTTTACCATATTATTGCATTTAGCCTTGTTAATACCATAGTTCTGTATTATATATCACCAACCTTTCCCTTTATGGGTTTTTGTTTCTTTTCCATTTGACAGAATATTGTACAGAGCTTGAATATGAGGAACTAATAACTTACAAAGGCTGTGCTACCAATGTCATCTTGATTCGCTGTGAAGGAATGTGTCAATCTACAGCAAAGTAAGGATCTAAAGACATTCCCTTGAACTGCTAACAAGGACTGGTTTCGTCTAGTGCTCCTATTTTGCCCATAGGAAGTTAATTGTGAAAGCTGTGGTGTCCTTAATTGGTTTGTGTGGCAGAACGAAACTTGTATAAACCCTACATTCAAGATCCATGTCACTTACAAAGAGGTCAAGAAGCAATTATCCCCTTTCATGGAAGACAAACCCCCTAATCTGGCAAAAAAAATGGCCCAGTTTATGCATAAAACTAGGGTGTCGACTTCAGCTCCATCACATTTGGCAATGCTATATAGACATATATGATGGCATTTCTGCAGTCCCACTCTCTTGCATAGTATTGCATAGTACTGTGCACGCAATAACAACAATTTCTCGCATGCTGAAGTAGACATTTTCCTAAAGGGTGAATAAAGCTGCACAAACCAAACACCAATGTCCATTGATACAAGGGACCTTCATCTGGAATGCACAGGTTCTGCAGTAGTGTGGCACTAACACTTTACAACATGGAGCACTTATCCCCTAGTAAATCAACATACTGAAACAAAATTATGGATTGCCTGCTTATTTAGGATGAGAAAATAATGCAGCAAAGAGCTGAATTCTCAGAAATAGTGTTCTTACTCTACAGTTTAAAATTATACAACACCTAGTACCATATGGTTTTCAAAAAACCTCTTAGAACTGGAGGAAGATTTCAAGTTCCTCAATATATCTGAAAATGATCTTTGAGAACTCTTACTTAAGTTTCCTTGAAAAGACTGTTTAAAATATCAATATTTTACTGTAAAAAATCAAGCAGCTGTCTTTCCTGATCTAGATCACAAAGGACAAAAATGTTTTATTTTAGTTGGCAATTCCCCTAACAGAAATGCTTGCATAACTGGGCATATCTAGACATTCATTAGTATGTTTTAAGTAACGCACATTAAATCTAGTACCTCTGGGCATTTTTACACGTGCATGTGCTGCAGCACTGGACACTTAAAAAAATTCCCAGCACTGCAGTGCATGCATTTGTATAAATGGCAAAATCTGCCTCAGTGCTGAGAAAATGGTGGCAGTGAGCTTTGGATCGAAAACACACCACCACCATTTTCTCAGTGTTGACACGCATGTCATCATTTATACAAACATATGCGATGCAGCACTGGATTTCCAGTGCATCAGAGCAGATGGAGGTACGTGTATAAATGCCCTCCATTGTGAGGTACTAGAAAAATGTGCATTACCTAAAGAGCATGGTTTTTTTGTGATGCTTTAATGTGCATTAAAGCGAATGTGTAGACATCCCTATTTTAAAAACAAATTGAGAGCAAAAGGCCAAATTCTATCCCAAGCAGAATTTCCATCTTAAAGTGTGTGATATTATATATAGCATCTGCAGAGTATAATCCAAGTTTTGCCTGCTTACCTCATACTTTCTAAAATAAGGATTTTATCCTCGCCCATTTGCTCTGCAGAACCTTCACAACTATAGCAGAGAAATCTTGTTATTTGTTACCTTTATTAATGGCACTGGAATCTATGACCTACTGGGTCATACTGTCACCTTATAGTCTTGTGCTGACCATTAGAAAGATGTTTTAAACATGTGAAGCATAAAAAAAAAAAAGGAAATCTAATCATTTTTATACAAACAATGGATGCTTTCCAAATCACTTTGTAGGAAATTACTACAAAGTATACTACTAGTATACTAATACGACTAGTATTAAGGCATACCCTTGAAACTACAATACATTTTTTCAGGTTGGGATTTTCTAAAGATGTTTAAAAGGAAACAGATAGCCAAATCCCATGGATTTTCACTGGAGCTTGGATACCTAATTTCTGTGGGACCCTTTGACAATTCAGCTTTAAAATGCAAACTGCAAGGTTTGCTTTGTTTGTGTTAGTGTAAAATCAGCTTTTCTTGCAGGGGAAGTGTAAGCTTAAAATTAGGAACACCTAAAATAGGTGAGACAAATGAGCTACTCAAATACCAGTTAGAAATGAACATAGCTGTCAACTCTTGCAGGAAAAACAGAATCCTAATTCTTGTACTGGGCAGACAAATAGGAAATTGCCTACACAACACTTACCTATACAAGATTTACCTATAAGATTTAAGATAATCCCCGGGCTGCTTTCTGATTCAGATTTAGGAACTCAGAGACAAATAATCTTGAAATCTTTGATTTCAATACAATTGCATCAGTTCACACCAAGTGAAGCTCTGGCCTGTCATTTTTTTCTTTTGACTTTTTATTTCTCTTTCAACATATCACAGCTAGTATCCATAAAATGGCATCATTGTCTGATTGAAGCACAAGGTTAATGATGTGTTATTCCTCAGTGCCAGCTCAGTCATGTTCCCATGCATGTCCATTTTGTCTACTTTCCATACATAAAAGGGTACAGCCCATAAACCCACTTCCTCTTGAGGAAATAAGTGTGTTCTATGTGATTTTTTAGTCTAATCAAGCTCTTGGTTTTTCTTTCTTTCTTTTATTAATTTTTATTTTTTTTGATAGGCTAAATGCTGCAACGATGACAGTACACCGGGAATGCAGCTGCTGTGTGCCACTCACACAGCATAGAAAGGAACTGAAATTACCGTGTCCAGACCCAGATAATCCTGGAAAAAGGCTTGTTATGGATATAACCATATTTGGTGGCTGCACATGTAGCTATGATGGGTGCACACTCTAGTTATGCTTTGATAAACTTCCTTGAAAAGAATTTTTTTTAATCTAATAAAATGACTAATAATTTACAACATTTCAGACAATGACTGCTCAATATTATGGCCTGTTGTTTGTACTGATATTGATTAGATGGGATAGCCACATGAGGAGAAAAATTGGCCACTGCCCAGTGTTAAGAAAACAATGCAAGAGTGATATAAATAATTTATTCCTAAATTTTTTGGTAGAGGGCAGAAAAAAAGGGGAGGGGGGGAGGGCCACTCTGGAAGTGTCTGGTTTGCTCAGGGCAATAATTTAACTAAAGGCTGAAGATTGGCCTCACTAATTATGTACTGTATAACACTAATGGGGATTTCATTAAAAAGTGTAATACATTTAACATTGGGGGGGTTTGTTTGTTTGGGTTTGTTGTTTTTTTTAAACTGGTTGCTTTGACTGGGTCCAGAAGTGCAGGGATGTGTGGTTTGTGGTGCTGTAAACCTTTGCGGCACCTCAAGCCTCATTCCTGACATGTTAAAACATGCCCTGAACTGTTGTAAATTTGCAATGTGGAGGCAAATTTGCTACTGGGAAATCCCAGTGGCAAAATAAATAAATAAATAAACAAATAAATAAATTAATTAATTAATTAAAAAGTCACACCACAGGAACATGCAGTGGCAGACATAGCAGAGGCTCAGTCCTTCAGAGAGATGCTCTGGCTGCTGGGCAGAGCGTCTCCCCTTTGTTATTTCTACCCCAGTTTATGCAGCATGCCGGGAGCTGAGAGAAGCAAGGAGAGCAATTTGCCTGAAGTGGCATGCGCATGCACAGTGGCAAAGAGTAGCGATAAATTTGTGCTATTTTTATTGCTGCAAGTGCATGCCCCTGCACGTGGGCACGTGTCCCCTGTGCTCCAACTGATTTTGTTGGAATGTCCTTTTCATGGCAAACAGTTGTATTAGTTTTGGAAATTACATTCTGTTATCTATTTTCCCCATAAAACGGACAGCCAATTTTTGTAGCAGTAACACCTGAAGCAGCTGCAAAGAAAACAAACAAACAAACAAAGACAGTGCTTGTCAAGACATTAGCAAATTATGAAGAGGTTCAAAGGATACACTCATGAGAGGTGACAGTATATTGGGGTAGTAGAAGTGAAGGTACCACAGCTGACTGTTCAAGAGAGAGCTAGAAAAAAAGTGAACAATTTTGGAGTGCTATTGAGCTGAGCAAGTAAAAAAAAAAGGCAACTAGCTTAAAAAAAACCAAACCAACCCAGGCAGTCAGCACTTATGAAGTGCTTGTTAGTAAGGTATTTGTTAACAGTTCATAGAATTTACTGGTGCTGGAATGTGTGCCCCTAGCTGGAATAATAAGCTTGGTGAATTTGAGCTTGTGAGAGGGACTTGGTGATTTTCTAGGAAGAGCTTTCTAGGAAGAGGGGAGATGTATTTTTATGAACCAAACAGAAATAAGCAGGTCTTACAACTAAGAATCTTAAAATCCTAAGAATTTATAACAAGTGGCTAGTCTAGGGCAAAATACAGAGGGTCTTTGTCTTAGAAAGGCAGTCCAGCTGTAGAGCTGCCCCAGCCCTGCTGCATGCCCAGCAGGCGGCAGGACATGCCAAGGGCAGGCAATGCAGAGCAGGCATGGAGCGGACTTGGGTCAGGGCTGTGTCTGAGGGCTCCAGCTGATCTGCTTCTGCTGGGTTGAATCTACAGCAGGCATGGGACAGGGCTGAAGCTGTGTGGTTGGTGGTGGCAGGGAAGTGCCACAGGGCATGTGGGCTATGCACATCCCATCATACCCACAAACCCTCCCTTGCAAACCCCACAGCCACACCCTGCCCCACACACAATCACACATCCCAAACACCACACTCACCCACACCCTCCCCCATACTGCCCCACAAACCTCACACCCTTGCCCACATACACCCATATGCCTCTGGGAGGAGCCCTGCTTACTAATATGTACACCCCACCCCAGCCATCTTAACCTTCTACACACCCCGCAGCCCCCCACAAACCTCCCATACCCACCCACATCCACACACCCCTACACCCTTCATACACACATGCACACACCCACATTCCCCCACAAACCCCATACCCCCCACACCTCCCCCACACCCAGAATATACAAGAGTAACTTCAGTTTGAGCTATTATACAATCACCTCTATATACACACACCATGCAAACAAACACAAAGTCAGAACAATTTTTAAAATAAAATTAAAATTAAAATATGTTAGTTGTCATTGTTTTATTTTTAGTATATAATTTGTTTCCCACTCCCCACCCCCCACCCCAGTTCCAACAT